TGGACCCACACAGACCAACATTGGACCCACACAGACCAACATTGGACCCACACTGATCAACACTGGACCCACACAGACCAACACTGGATCTTACTTGATTTCTTTGCTGGTAAATGAAATAACATGGTTCAAATTAAGGTCCATTTCATGCAATCTTCTCAACTTTTTACATGCCGAATCAGTCYTGAAGAATGTCTCTGTTATGTCCGCTTGTTCTTGCTCATTTACTTCTTCAAGGATTTGTTTTTCTTGTTTTAGGTCTTGTTGCAGAATATTCATTTGATTAAGTCGCTGTTCTTGTTGTATAAATGCTACCAAATCAAATGGTTTTTGAAGATTAAAAAAAGAATTGGCCTGAAAAGAAAACAAGGAAATGTTTTTGTAAAAGGAATGAGAATAGAATGAGAATAGAATGAGAATAGAATGAGAATAGAATGAGAATAGAATGAGAATAGAATGAGAATAGAATGAGAATAGAATGAGAATAGAATGGGAAATATAAAGCAAGCGCAGACTGGTCCATGTAGTCCTGATACTACAGTACACACATAGTATACACTCATTTGTATAATTCTGATACTACAGTACACACATAGCATACACCTATTAATATAGTTCTAATACTACAGTACATGTATTGGATACCACACACATAGTATGTAGTAGTTGTTGGCTCAAGATCTGAAATGGGCAATCTGAGAGTAAACAGAAATTACCAATAAGGGACCTACAGGATGTCCACATCATAGCGCATTATATCTAACTATTCATCTAATGTCTATAAAATTACATATTCTCTAGTGCTCAATAAACACAGATTTAACCATAGTATAGTAGTAATAAATAACCACGAGAATCATGTAATGCAAAGGCTTCAAGTCCACACTTGCAGCACAATAACATTTTATACATGTATTTCTAACTGTAGACATAATTTCAAAAGCTAACTAATTATTTGGTTATTTTCTAGAGATCTGGGAAAAATGGGAAATGATCGATTTCTTTTTTCAGTAAAATATGACTTATTCTTGACAGCTTTCCATGTCTACGTTGTTTGCACGTTTTTACCATAAAAAGGGTGAATTTCCAAGCATAAAATCTGCTGACGGCTAAACAAAGTTGGGACCCCCATATTTTATTTGCTTATTTTACTTCTAAAAATTAAAATGAATCTGATGACAGGAACTTTTGCCCATTAACGTCCTTAAATGGGAAAAGAAGAAGAAGGTGTAGGAGAATTAATTGAGTCCAATATTGGTTCATGTTTTTTCCATATCTTTTTCTCATTAATTTGCTTCTTAATAATTATTTCGCTTTGGAACTTTCCACCCCACACAATCATTAATCAAATACCTTCCAGCCAATTGCAATCACACCCTTAATATTTAGTTTCCTTTCATTGTATTTAAGTGTTCAATTACCTATAGTCAGTTATAATCACAAATTACAACTGTTCTTGGTCAAAAACAATACCAGATGGCTCAAGACAACTGTGCACAAATTAAAGCTAATGCTTTCTCATAATAAATTGAAACCCCAAGGGCGGATCCAGCCAAAATTTTAGGGGTGGGGGGGGGGGCTAATTGAGTTTCTTCCGTTAACACAACGGAAAAAAATATAAAAAAGCATCGTTTTTTTCTGATGAAGGGGGGCCTTCAGCCCCCCTTTGCCCCCCCCCTCTGAATCCACCCTTGAACCCTGTGTAATAGCTCTTTATAGCTTTGGGGTAGTGGTATCCCCTTCCAAACCATGTGTGATTCTTTTCAGAATAAGATTATTTGTTCGATTTGTATTTATATTAGTCTTGTCATGTCAACTGTTAAAAAAAATTTTTTTCGTGAAGTCTGATCATCTGGGTGAGTGTAGCCTTGAGAAAGACTGTTCTTGTTGGTGACTGACGTTTCGGTCACTACCTAAGCAAAAGTCACCTTCAGAATCCAGTGACAATTCACTCGGATTGTTGAAATGCCAGTCACCACCAACAATAGTATTTCTCAAAACCAGGTACACTAACCTAGACAATCACACTGTAGAATAGCCTTCAACACCTGGGTTCAAACTCTTAAACAAAGAAATGATACTCAAGGGAATGAAATGTGGTCTGAAATGGGAAAACATTATGCCAAAGCTAGAGGCGTATTATTTTCCATAAAGCTAGTTTGTCCTCTCAGTAAAGTYAAGGGTTTTCAATCAACAGGTGCTTTGGTTTTCCTATTTACGAGAAAGCAACATGTGAGTTGAGTGTTATAGAATATTTAATGTATTGGTAGTGTGTGTGCGATAGTGGGACAAATTGGATCAACCAGCATTATACTGAATTTGAARAGTACAGTCAAACAAGCTCATGCGTTGACTCCTAGAGTCGATTAATGATTTGAATTTTCGAATTTTGATTTCATTATTCAGTTGAAATAACGAAGATATGAAAATTCCAATCATCTTTAAATTCAATATACGACATTTTGATTGGTTAATTAGTGCTAACACAGGAAGACCAAGAAAACATGGCGGCCAGAAATAGTCTTGGCCGTGTTTATGTGCCGGGAAGGCCTTTACCTGATATTATTCGACAGGAAATTGTTCATCTCAGCAATAATAGCGGACTGCCCAATAAAGCAATTTCGCGACAACTGAAAATTTCTAAGTGGGGAGTCCAAAAAATACTTCAACATTATCGACGACATGGAACTGTGTCTCCATGTGATTCGCTCTGCAAGGTGGGAATGTTCCCTACAAAATTACTGATGATATCTTCCAAGTAATAATATTGAGGTATGGAAATAACAAAACCAAGTGTGTATGCTTATGAAATAAGAGAGCGACTTCTGCTCGAAGGTATCTGTAATTTAGATGATTTACCTTCTTCATCACGAGTCGCATAATGAACTGAATTTTCATTTGACTATTGCAATATTGCATTATTGCGGTACGTTCGTACGCATAAAAAGAATAATTGACTAATGATTTCTTCAATCGAGTCTAGGGGACAACGCTTGAGCTTGTATGACTGTAATGACTAGTGGTTATTAGTTGGTACTGTATTAATTTGTCAAATACAATAAGCGAATAAGAAAGAAACTTAAACGCTGTGTAAAAATATTTAACTATCGTACTGATGTTTCGACATTAGTCCTTTTTGAATTTGTTCATTTGCTATGACGGGACAGGTGAGTGAAGACAGACAAGTAGAGTTAAAACATCATCTATATGATAATGTTGACTAAGTTAATAATTATATAGGCGCCATATTAGCTGTAGGCTGTAACATGAAGCTAACTATTGCTAAGCATCAGTTCAGATGGAGAGCTCTATTGTCAAACAATCAAATCAACAGGGATAAAACGATGGTTATTTTACCAGTAATATTAAAGAAAGAGAAAGAACAACAAGCAGTTGTAACTGAATTAAAGAAGGCAAACTTTATCACATTGGGAATGATTTCTTATTTTACCTGCTGCTCAATACGACCATTTTCAGTAACRATCCAATGTGTAGCCCCATTACAGCCTGATACAACCAAAGATAATAGTATCCAGGCTGTTAAAATACTGAAAAAACGGCTAAAAGTTTCCCAATCAAGAACGACTAGCACCACCATGTTTATCTCTATATGGCTCAGTGTTGACTTCACTAGTCCCCGCGCGGTCAGGTCTTGGTTGGTTACGCAGAAGAATTTAAGGTGTCACAAACCACACAAATAAATTTGAATCCCTATATATATATATATGTAATTTCCATAAACTCGTGAAATAGATTTTAGTTATTTAGCACCATTGCACGTCGTTTTAATCTGGATGACTATAATATCTTCATATGATGATTTGGTTCCTCCCTGTCAACAATCTTTTTGCTTTTTTTTTTTGGTCATCTCTTTGCAAATAAAGTTTTTATAAATAAGCATTCTTATATATGGGATTTTTTAACGGGTTGATGAGACATGACCACTTTAATAAGCTGATAACATATTAATATAGCCCTAATATCAACCTCTGAAAATAACCTCCCTCCTCCCCCCTCGAAATTAACCCCTATCCAAAATAAGCCCTCTAAATTTGAAAGGTAAAAATTCATCTTCTATATATTCCCCCAAAAAATAACCCGTCCATCGAATTTATAAACTAGACTAGCCCCCTCTAACTAAATGTGAAACTGAAAGCGTACAACATATAAGCCCTTCAACTGAATAGAATCCAATGGGGTTATTGTAATAATAGACTATAAGATATGGTATATAAAACGAATAAAGAGATTCAGAGTCTTTCCAAGTTTCACCATTCGTCAAATTTTAATATTCGTCATTTTCAAAGTAAAGTAGATTCATATTTTTTAAACGGTTTTTCAGTTTTTATTGGTTTACAATTACTTCCTTTTAGTTACGTATTTTCTTCCATTTCTTGCTTTTTCAGTCATTCTATAATATAGCATTTCTTCTACAATTCAGTGTTCTTGTGTTCATTTATGATATATCTCTCTCCATTTTCTGTCATCATGTTCTTCGGCGTTACACAAAATTTGTGCTCGTTTGCAAGCTTCTTCTTTCTTCAATAAAAACAGAGAAAAACTAGTCACTGATCAGTTCTCATGGTTAAAAACTAACATATATTAGAAAAGTGAATTTACGATAACGAATTGTACCTTATATAGTCGGCTCTCTCGTTTGCGGCCCGACTTAGGTTCGGGTCCAATGGGCCAAGGTTTTCCAGCACTCACCAAAGGCACTGCCAATAGAAGCAAAGAAAGAAAACCAACAAGAAGCACAATTTCTCTTTTCATTGTGAAAATAGCCTGAACTATCGACAACTATCTTCCGGGATCTTCGTCCAACAGAAGACTGATTGGATCTAGAATAGAATCTTTGTCTGTGTATTTATGTACCAAACCGACTGGGTCATGCTGAGAGGGAGAGTAGTTATTACCTTGCGATGTGTCAGAAAATACTACATAGTGTTTAATAATTGTCTTTCCTTAATTACACAGTATATACAATATACAATAACAGGAAGAATTGAACCATCTGYTGGTCAGTTAGTACCGTGACCATATTAGCTACAAACTCTTTTAGTGTACGGATATTGCCTCTAGCCCTACTTTGCCTCCTTACCTCGCCCTATATCGCCTAACATTATGCCCCATATTTTTGGAACTTTTATATGCCTCATATTGCCAGAAATATGAGAAGGGTGAAGGGGTCGTGTAAAAATTCTTCGTTAGACGAATGTCGCTGCTGAACATGCAAAACGAAATCATAAGAGATCCTTTTCCAGAACATGTTATTTCCTTCCTTGTGCAGAGGATATTTTGGGCCAAAAAAGAACAGAGTTCTCACCTTCACATCGATGATTATGAGTCTACTAATGATTTATGGTCATGATGATGATAATGATAATCATGATGATGATCATCGGTTAACCAACAAGGCCTTTTAATCGTTTCGTTCATTTCAGTACATAGTAAAATATTTAATACAATGCGCGCGTTAAATCGTGTTTATATCAGACATGTTCGCGCAAAATCGTTCAAAAATACTTTATAAAAGCATAATAAAACGGCTGCTTTTATCTCTGTCCCTTGATATAAACACTCTGGAAACCGTAGAGCATTTGAAAAGCAAGACAAACACTTGGCTACGCCTCGTGTTCCTAAGCTTGCCTCTCTAGTACTCTACAGCTTCCAGCATGTTTATATTTAAAATAACTGTTATAAATCTCGCGTTCTGATTGGTTGGGAGCGCGTGCTTTATGAGAGCACACAGCACGCGCGCGCACTTTCATTTGCATCATTCCTATCCAAAATAACGGTTATTGAAATTTGTATTTTATAAAAGAAATAAAAACCTTGCTTGCTGTGCCGTGTGGAGTTATAAAGCACTTGGGGATTGGCAGAACACTTGAGAAGTGTCCAGAAGCATTCCGCTACGCGTCGTGCTTCTCCTAACACTTCTCTCGTGTTCTGCCAACCCCCGCGTGCTTCGTAACTGCACACAGCACGCGCGCGCGTTTTCTATTTCTTCATTATACAGTACAAAGACGTGCTCGCGCCTTATATGTAACAAATAAAACAGCTTTTTCCGTGCTCCTTTCAGTAATAAAGCACGCTGGAAGTGACGTAAGCACGAAAGAAGTGGCACATGTTGCAGTACATTTTGGAGCTGGTTTGAGCAACTCGACGCAGTTTTTTCCTCGGACTTGGAAGGGGTAATAGGACAAGTACGTTTCTAGTTGGAATAGAATGTGTTATCACAAGTATTATGAATAGAGCTATTAGTGTTATCACAAAGGGTGCCAATAGGGTTAGTAGTTCACTGACCCAGTACCCTGCGAGCAGAGTCTCCTTTTAACTCCTCTACGGGCGAGAGAGGAGTTAAAAAGAGACTCTGCTCGCAGGGTACTGACCCAGTAAAATTAGTAGTTAACAGTTAACTGATGTTTCATGATTTTCGCTCGTAAAATTAGTTACAAATTATAGTTAAAATTAGTAAGCTTGGATATGAAATAATATCTAAGTAGAAGAAGTATTGATCCATGGATATCATGATACCTATGTACTTAAAAAACATTGGAGAAAATTAGCAGTTAACTGACAATTTGGTACTCCCATTGGCACTCTATTATCAACTTTAATCACATTGATATCGTAATCAGTGGTGTTTGGGGAACAGACATTATTCAATTCTGTAAGTAGTGGAAAAAATAATTTAGTGGGGAAAATATTAGAAGAAAATATTCTTAATGGGAAATTATTTTGCTTGCTTACTTTGACCAACCAATAACTCGTCCTTCGTAATGAATTGTTTATAGGTCGGCTAGTTTGATCATTCATTAAGTTGCTATTTGACACCATTTTCCTGGTTGATTGAAACACAGTTTGTGTCGTAAACGACAGCTGCAAATCCGCAGTACTTTTCCGGTACAAGCTACTTTCAGTTTCGTACAATCTTTAAAGACTACTGGGAAGATAGCAATGTTTGTCTAACAAACAAATATTCTATAGCCATTTTCTAAGCCCTTAGAGCTATTTTAGTTAGACTGTTTTAGTGTACTTCTCTAGTTGAACTAGCGAGTTCTATCGGCCGATTCACTAGGGCGAGACTTACGATTTGGTGCGGGTTGACCTATTTTGCTTAATTCATACTTTTTCATATCAGACTTTTTCACAGTCATACGAAAACTGCTTTAAGTCGGGTGAATCAGTAAAGCCTAATCAAGAATAAAGTCAAGCCCGGTCTTCTCTTGGTCAAAAACACTTTGTCCGTGTGGAAAGTATTATTGCAGGGTTGAATGATTGATATATCATAATAAAGCTAGCCGGGTAATTTAATGCCAATATAACTCCTCTTTCTCCAAAGCTTAGCGGTTTTGAGTAAAGCTGTTGAGTGAGAGCTAAACATTTCATTTTCCCTTTTCTAAAACTTTCGAGATATTTTATACACGCCAAGCTTGTTACTGGTATGCGCATGCGCAGATAAAAAAAACGCTAGACCAAAATGCATCAGGATACTTACCCACGTGACCAGCACGTGGGAATGAACAGTGCTTTCTTCAAGCTAGACTTTACTAACATCGGTTATACCTCCTTTGTAGCGAGTGGTATTTGTCGTAACACTATTTGTTTAGTTCAAGGCTGAAGACGCGCCCGTGGGCCTTTGCTGTCATAGTTTAGGGCCACGTCATATATATTGAATAATGCATGGCACTTTCCCTTGTCTRATTATGAAAACCTTAGTGTTTGTCAGGCAGCTGAGAGCCTATCATGTATCGTTAAGTAGTGGACGCTAACTAGAAGTTTGTCACGTCAGCTGTTAGTTAAAATGTTCATGAATAATTATACAGCACGATATATGTAATATATYTATGTTCCCGCTGAGAGCTTGAATAAACTGAAAATGAGACCGACTAACCATTTGGCTACTACCAAGTTCCTGATCAGATGTAGTCCATCTGTATAAAGTTCCTGTACAAAGAGCGACGCCTTACTGTCTTTACTTCGACAGCTTGTTAAACATAGAAACTACATGAGCCATTATCAGTTGTCAGGGCCAAGGCCTTTCATACTTTGACTTACAAATAACCACGGATCCAGGGGGTAGGAGTGTCTTGTCATATCCCCCTTGCACAAGTCCTTTCATACTTTGACTTACAAATAACTGGTTTAAACAGGAACGTATCCAGGGGGTAGGAGTGACTTGTCACCCCGTCCCCCTTGCACAAGTCTTTTCATACTTTGACTTACAAATAACTGGTTTAAACAGGAACGTATCCAGGGGGTAGGAGTGACTTGTCACCCCGTCCCCCTTGCACAAATAAAAGAAAACTGAAACAAACTGAAAAAACTTCCCCTCGCGGTTTATTTGAAGCTGTTCAATTTAATAGACCCGTGATGAATTGCATGGAGACTCAATTTTCCCGCCTTTTCTGGGTTTCCCGTGGCATTGAAACTAGATACCCTGTAATAGTCTACACCGTATTAAAACTCCTGAACACACGTACACCCATGGAAAAACTCTAAGGAAATGTTCTGTTCGATTAAGTAATCTGTGTCGAGTAATCTGAAAGTCTTTTCTCTCCTCTTTATCTTTTGGCGGGTCAGCCTTATTAGTCTTGACTGAATCTCATTTCAACTGAGCAACTGGCAAAAGCACGTCACGTTATCGCCGCCTTTTAGCCATTTAACAAAAGATTCCTTGAAAGCATCTATCGTTAACGACACCACAATGGCCGCCATGCTTTTGTCTTTTAACTCTCTTGGGAATGCTTGCAACCCATCATTATCTGAAGGGTTAGGGTTAGGGGAGTGATATTTTGCATCCACTCTATAAACCATCTTACTAACAAAAGCTCTAGTTAATAGCTGTCTTGGTAAATCCATAAAGAATTGCCAAAGGTGTTGCCAGACAACGGGGCATCCCCAGCCATTACCAGCATTGTATATAAAGACTACCGCGATAGAATCTCAGGTCTAGTGTGAATCGAATCAGTTAATATCATTAGTYGTTTAGAGTAGTTTGGATCTGTTGATAATGAATTTCTCAAGTCACGCCTTGCTGTTTGGGTGTCTTCTAATATCGTTAGGATTAGTTCAAGTCACACAAGCTGTAGTGGGACCTTACAGTCGTGATACCGAAATCTCGACACGATTCGTTCAGGTACGTAGGACAAAACAAAGACATTTAGAAATGACGTTCTTGCTTCTACCGCAACCTCAAACTCCAGTTCGACGTCAGGCGTTTTCCTTCAAACTTTCGACATTTAGCAAGGCGTCATAACAAAGTCAGTTGTTGCTGGACTGAAGAACCTCCTTATTGAATTTCTTTGATGTTGAATGTTTCTCCGTGTTTGCAGGAATGATTCTGGGTCTGATTCCCAGCAGCGATTAATGATTAGCGGCTAGCGGTAAACCCGATGCTAAAGGACTCTACCGATTGTCATTAGACCAGAAAAACTGGTTATTCATCAAGACAGAGTAGTGGAGCTGATTCGGTGACCACATTCAGATTTCTGATCGATCCTCGATCAATAATCCTATCAGTAACTGATTGAAATAACGACTAATTAGATCAAATGAGTCTCATTCAATTCCTGATGTATTTACTTTGCTTATAAACTATATTTACACTTTTTGAGGCATAGTCTAGTATAAGAGCGTACTATACGTACATCACTGTAACATATCTTTAGCATCCTTGGAATAAGTGTTTCTTGATTTTAAACTGATTTGCAATTAATCCGCTTTTGTCAAGTGTTTCCTCTCCGTGATGATCGAGCGCGAATTGAATGTGGTGAACATAGAACATTGAAGTGTAGCCGCAGTAGTGTGTGTGATTGAAAAAGTGTCCCCATTAGTGCGAAACACGCTAGAACGACTTTATTCTTAAACTATATGTACTTATTTATTTTAATCATTAATTTGTTTGCCAGGGAATGAAAGATTATTGTGGGCGAGCAGAAATCTTGTGCCAAGATGAACCGACGCATGCGACGAATCTAAGAACTATCCGACAAAAGATTGTCGAAAGAAAGAAGCATGCATAAGATGTGTCAACCGGAGCCTTTGTTCTCAGAGGCTTTTCAGGCAGTGTAAATGGTTAAAGCTTCTTATTTAGCTAGGAGTTGATCGAAACATAARCTTAAAAGTTCTATCCAGCAATTTGAAAAGATTTTGTACGCAACATGCAGTAACGAAAAAATAAATAAAGCAGCTCTATAAAATGAACTTGAAGAAAGCAGTGTTTGTGTACATCAGTTAACATCACTCATACCCTGGATCGCACCAGTTTGATGCAATGATATCATTACAGGTGGTTGAAGGAAGGAAAGAAAGAAAGAAAAAAGAAAGGAAGAAAGAAAGAAAAAAGAAAGGAAGAAAGGAAGGAAGGAAGGAAGGAAGAGAGAGAGAGAACCACCGAAAAAAAATTAGAAAAAAATCGATTCCACTTTGCCATACCCCCGAGACATCCGCAGAGCTGCGGCGGCGTATGGACTTCGGACCTGACGGCGATTAAATCCTTCTGCTCTTGGGTGTACGAAAGAAACKCAAGTCCTAAACCAAAGGACACCAAAGTAAGCTTACTTTAGAAATGACATCGACCACAAAAGGTTTCCCTATGAAGCGTGTGAAGGAGTGCGGAGTAGCGAGTTTTACAAGCATCACAACACTCGAAAGGAGATCAAAGTAAGTTATTAATTTTAGAAGATACGTCGGTTATAAAGAAAATAATAAGATTTTAAATCTTTAAAAGTCTTTATAGTATTTCGACAACAATGCGATATATTGGTTCATTTTTAGACAAATTTATAACTTTTTTATAAAAATAATTGATAGATAGTTTATTATCCCACAGGGCCCGGTTGTACAATGCCTGGATAGCGCTATCCAACGGATAACTCTTATCCAGTGGATAAGTCGAAACTGTTATCCAATAAATTTATCCACTGGATAAGATTTATCCGTTGGATAGTGCTATCCAGGCTTCCTACGACCGGGCCCAGATGGTTATTGGCTATCGATAGAACCACACCTACTAAGGTAACGTCGTCCTAGTCAGCTCGATGCACCTTGGGCTCGTAGCTAGCAAACCTCTCGTATTCGTACAGTTTACTAGTCTCCTAAAAGACAAGTCGAATATAAAGTGGTACTCAGTCCATCCCGGAACTTTTCAGCCCAATTGTAACAATTTATCATTATTCAACTAGTAGTCTGTAATACACGAATGAAAACGTCTGCGCATGCTCTAGATGGATGGGAAGTATAAGTCAGCAAGGCATTGTGGGATAGTACTCACTGCTGTGATAGGGTAGTGGTAATGGATGGTAAGTATAAGCAAGGCATTGTGGGATGGTACCCCCATCCCGGGGGGTTACTCCGCCAGAACTTGGGTAGGGGTGTTCCGCTGGGATTCTGAAAGGGGTACCCTGTTTATGACAAAAGATATAAATAATTGCACTGAGTTCCCGTTTCAATTACGTCATCTCGCGTATCGTTTTTTTACGACCATAATAACCGGTTTCAGTCAATATGAAAGTAGAAACCTATGAAAGGAAACTCGGGAAGAACTTGGAACTTGAGTGAAATTTCATACCCTGTTTATGACAAGAAGCTCGAAAAACCATACCCTGTTCAGCGGATTATCCCAGTATAGTCCATATATGGGAGTACCCCCCGGGGATAGTACTCACTGCTCTGATAGAGTGCTGTGGTATAGCAAAATACTGCATTGTTTCTCATTGTTAAACATATTTTATTAACTTTTTGGTGTCTGCCAGCTAGCTGTCATTGGTGCATTCACAATCTTTCGACCAAGAGACTTTTTTTCAAATGGAGATTATTRATGGTTAGTTTGATTATAGACTACCTAAGGTTATGGCTATATCTATAACTCAACATATTGTTACAGGTGACTGATAAATTATAATACTCCAAATGGATTGCAATGTGGCTGCCAAAAGCACCTTCACATTGTTACCAGTTTGACCCAGTTGAGCTGCACCACTGCTACARGTACTTGCAGCAGTAATTAGTGTAAATCTGGATTGGACCATGTRCTTTAAGATAGAATATGCTAAAGAAAACATCAGTGTTTGTCTTAATCAAGTTACAAGTGATACAATTAGTAATTATTGACTGGGACCAAGGGAAACAGTGTGTTTTGTGGCCCGAGACGGTGATGTTCTCATTGCCGTCTTGGGGACCACAAAACACACTGCTTTCCCAAGTCAAAAAGTGTTTTGTCATATACCAAGTGTCAAAGAAAAAATAGCAGTTATTTGATTTTTTGATTATTTGATTTCGAAAAACTCAKAAAAACTTTTCTGGGAAAATCACAACATATTTTTGCCCACTGAAAGCTGTTGCCGGCGAAYGACTGAAACTTGTTCACGTTCCCTCTCAACCAATCAAAGTAAGAGAAAAATGGACTTTGATAGTTGGTATATGACAATTATTATGTTATTATTATGACAATTATAACTAAATATCACACTAATTTGACTGATGAAGACTGTGTTATACAGATGAAATATCTCAACAATCTATGAAATATTGCTATGAGTCCAAACATTTATTAATTGATAACTAAATATCATTTCTAGTCTCCAATGAAAATAGTCTTATTATACCACAATCRAAAATTACTTTACTGCTATTTTCAATAAAAAAAAGCAAAATCTGTATCTGAGTTGCATGCTAAAGCTTGACTTTTCCTGCYGCCAGTCAAAAATATGTAATATGTACTGACTGATTACTTGTGATTGACGGCAGCRGGGGAAAAGTTACAGCATGCAGCTTGCAAAAAATTTTACATATTTATGAAAATAACAGTGCATAATTGTCTAATAATGTGGTATTACAGTGATTATTGCAGTGTAACATAATAATAATAATAATAATAGTAATGAACTTTATAAGTTTAAAAGGTATTTACGAAATACTCCACTCCCAACTAGTGCTATTAATTCAGTAAAAATGTGTTTGTTTTTTTTTGCTTTTTTAAATGTTTTAATTTTTTTAGTTTGTCCATTTTAGGTTGTTTTTTTTTTCTTTTGTTTTTTTTCCCATCCATTTTATTTGTTTTGATAGATTTTTTGATATTTTTTCTTAAAATGATTATTGCATTATAACAAATAGAAGCTAATATAACAACATAATAATAGGGTTCATGCTGGATTCCCAAGAAAAAAATCAAGGATTTTCCAGGCAGTATTTAAGGAGGAAAATTAAAATTTTTTAAGTACTTTTGCCTACAACTTTAATTATTGTTGTGTTCATCGAACGAGACTGCCTGGTTATCCAGGGTAATCGCTGGTAGCCCAAATGACCAAAATTTCCGTAATAATGATACCTCTTTTGATCAAGAGAGCATGTTAAAATTTTGATTGTGTTGGTTTATCTTCGATTTTATCGCACGTATTCTAAGATATGGCAGGCGTTCCTTGTAGTGCTTGTTTACGTGCGCGCTACACTTCATGGCAGGCGTTCCTTGCTTTAGTCAGGTTAGCGAATTTACTCCGAAAACCGACGAATATCTTGCGAGGAGCGGASCGACACTCGTCATTCCCATCCTTACACGATCGTAAGCCATTCGGATCGGCCGAAACCAAAACACTACGAGGAACGCCTGTCACAWGATGGATTGCGCGCCCTAGATAATAGATCAACCAAGAACAATAACTTTCCTTACACAAACAAAATTTTAATGTGCTCCCTTGTTTTGATCAATCATTTACTTTTTATATATGAAGATATAGAAATATA